GATGAATAGATTCTGAAGCTACTAAACATGTTTGCAATTCATTGCAAGGATTTCAGGAATCCAGAAGTCTCGATGATATGGAATATATTTGTACTTGACCTAATGTTAAGGTTGTAGCTAAGTCAGTGGGAGTATTACATCTAAAATTAGAGAGTAAGAGGATATTAGTATTAGAGAACTATCTTTATGCACAGATGTTAGACGCAATCCCATTCTTATTTCACTTTTGGTTTATAAAAACTGTGTTGTTATTTTTTAAAACTGGTTTTATAAAATTGAATAGATATGCGATTGCTTCTGGTGCATTGAAAGATGGTTAATATACTATAATCACAAACTCTTAAGATTTGCAGGATATAGAAACTAATGTTGCATATTCTAGATTGAATGTTAAGAGAAAAATTGTTATTCCTGACTCATTGTATTTTTAGTGTCTATTTTTGGGTTATAATCAATCAAAATGAGATTCAAAGATTGGTCAAAGAAGGTTAATTACCTAGTGAGGCAGAGGAGCCTAAACCAAACTTGTGAACCTTGTTTTGAATGATAGATAAATAGATATAAAGGACAATTGGAGTCGGTACACACTGACACGTGTGGTTTTATGAACATCCAAGCAAGATTACTCACGTTTTGGATAAGTTTATCTGATGCAACACAAGTCTTAAACTCTTGGTATATTCTGAGAAGGTCAAGACTGATGTGGAGCACAGATTAGGTAAACTTATCAAGACACTTCGATCTGATCGAGGATATGAGTATTTCTTGGGATAGTTCAAAGACTATATGGTCAATGAGGGTGTTGTGTACCAGTTTTCCGCAATTGACGCTCAATGGATTGAGGTGTCAAATAGGAATAACATAATTTCCGTTTAACATGGTTAGATCTATGAACAGTTATGCTACATTATCTCTTTCATTTAAGAGTTTAGCATTAATGACATTGATGCGCATTATGAATTGCATTCCATCTTAGTCTGTCTCAAGGATACCGTTGAGCTGTGTTTTTGACTAAATCTTAGTTTGAATCACATGCGCATATGGGGTAGTCTTGCACATGTGCGCTTGATATAGACAAGTAAGTTGGAAACAGATCATACGCATGATAGATTTGATAGCTACTCTAAAATGTCACTAGGAATGATTATTTTATGATCTCAATGATAAAAGTTGATTGTTTACACTCACTGTTTATTTATAGGAGAATCATATTATGAATCACATACCTAATAGCATAGTGTTAGAGAATATGGTAAGAGTACCAGATGTACCACATATGAACACACTTTGTATAGAGATTTAGAATTATAGATGAATTCCCTATTGATGCGTCAGCATCATCTAGTACACAGATTCCTTCATCGGTACATTGATGTAGTGGGAGGATAATTATCCAATCCAACAGAATCATGTTTTTAGGTGAGACCGTTATGGACATCCCTGTTAAACATGAGTTGGACCCAGTAAGCTACACGGAAGCGTGAACCGATATAGATACAGATCGTTTTGGCGAGTTACTATGAAATCAGAGTTGGAATCTATGTATTCTAATAAATTCTGGGATCTTGTAGAACTTTCTAGTAGGGTGATACCTATGGAAGGCAAGTTAATCTACAAAAAGATACCAGAAGATTTCTTAGTGAATAAATCATGAGTGTACAAGGAATGTCATTATTTTTCTTAATTCTATATATTGATGACATCCTACTCATTTATAATGACGTGGAAGTTTTGTCATCAATAAAAAGGTAGTTGTTCAATTACTTTTAAATGAAGGATTTTCAAGATGTAAGCTATATTCCTAGGATCAAGCTTTTGCAAGATCAGGTTAAAAGGAAAATAGGCTTATCTTAATAATCCTACATTGATAAAGTTTTGACCAGGTTTGGTATGCATAACTCAAAGAATGAGTTCTTACTTTATTGATATGGATTGCTCTATCTAGTAATTAGTTTTCTAAGACTAGCAGAGGAGATTGAGCAAATGAGACTGGAACTATATGCTTTGGCATATGGGAGTCTCATATATGCCATGGTCTATGCCAAACAGGACATCCGCTACATTGTAGGGATAGTCAGTAGATATTAGTCTAATTCTGGACTTGATAACTGGTCTGTTGTGAAAAATATCATTAAGTACCTAAGGAGAACCAATGATATCATACTCATTTATGGATGTGATGATATGGTCCTAGTCAGGTATGCTAGTTCTGATTTTCAATCAGAAGTAGATACTATGAGGTTCATGACTTAGTGTATCTTCATTTAATGGAAGGGAAATCAGTTGGTAGAGTGTTAAGCAGATTTCAACTGCTGACTCAAATCTACAGGTGGAATACATTGCAGCCTTAAAGGCGGCAAAATAAGCCTATTGGTTTGATCTCACTGATTTAGAGGTTGTGGAGCATACTAGCCTGCCTATCGAGCTATATTGCGATGATAGTGCAGAAGTAGTCCAAACCAATGACCCAAGGTTCCATAAATGAACAAAATACACTGATAGGAAGTATCATGTTCTACATGATATTGTCCGGCAGGAAAATGTACTTGTGGCTAGAACATTGCATTGGAACACAACTTTGTTGATCCATTAACAAAGGTATCATCGATCAATAGTTTTGATCAACACCTGGATAACATTGGAGTTAGATGCAATTTGAATTGGCTATGAGGGCAAGTGGGAGCTGTTGGGATTTATATGCCCTGGCAAAGCAAATTCCTATCTAGATTAAAGTGACATATGTTCCTGACATATCTGAAATATTTATGATTTATATAATTGGTGAATTCAATGTATTATATTTCGATTCACTATGAAATTGATAGTGTCCCTGTGATTACAAGAAATATTTATATATATGTATGTGATGGCAATCAATGCATGATATATACATAGTAATTATAAATTGTTCATAGTCGGTAATTATGGATGGACTCATAATTAATTAAGACTTGAACTGGATCCGCGTTAGGTTGAGATATATTGCGAGAGCCGTCGTATGCAATTGCTCCCTAGCACCGTCATAACATTTGACCTTAAGCATGAGAAAATTATAGACTCTTTTATTAATTAATAATTACTTTGATTTGTTCGGCGGATTCTTCGGAATCCTTAGACCGACACTTTGGGTAGTTATGTAATTAATAGTTAGAGGGTTATATTTTCAATATTTGCATCATTGCTACTTGTATTTATTTTGTATTGATTATGGTTGATCACAAAGTAAATTCGAAGGCCTTCGTATGTTTTTAGACAAAATGATTTATTATATATTTATTTATTAAATTATTATTATTTTGTCAAACAAATGTTTTATTGTGATCAAGCCAGAAATAATCAAAGGTACCAAAATAAATATATTAATTAAGTAGTCGGATTGATGGCATTATTTATCCGATAACTAATTTTGCATAGAGGGGTCAAAGTGCAATATTGACTTAGTGGTTATTTATTATTTAATTGGGGTTCAATTAATTTATTTTAGTGGAGTAGAAATTAATTTATGAATTAATTGAATTGGGTCCATGGACCGGGCCAATTATTAATTCATTGTAGCCAATAAAATAATAGGCCCAATAGATTCTCACTCATAGCCCAACTTGATATTGGAATCATATTAAATTTGAGACAAGTGAATTAGAGATTGAGAAGGATTAGTTGTTTCCTTTTCTTTACCTTTATGTTACCTATAAATATACATGGTCTATATATATTTTAGGTGTGATTTTTAGTAGAAGGAAAAAGGAATGTATATTTTCTCTCTCTAGAAAATTAGGGTTTATGTTCTCATCTAATGGAGGCTCCCACAAGCCTAGTTTTCCAAGGTCATTCATGGAGGCTTATGAGTGATTCTTAAAGGCAAAACAATTACCAAGAAGATGGAGATCCATGGAAAAGGTGTCTAGCAAAAGGGATCTACAACGAGTGAGAACGTTCACTTTAGAGGAGAGATCTAAGGTTTACTCAAACCTTGATGTAAGTATTCAATCTTTTAATTGAATGATACATCATGTTTTATTTTTGCATAAAACTTGTCTCTATGTGATGAATCAAGATCTATGAATTTAAATCTCTTGAAATTTTTTTAAAACTAACACGTTTCCCAATACTTGAACCCTCACCTCTCGCAACCCATGGTAACCTTGTATTTTTTATTTTACACGAACACACACACACACATATAAACAAGTTTAATTGAGAGCAGATACAAACTTGTATTTTTTAAACATATATATGAACAAATAAGAAAAGATACATCCTTTTTACTGGACCAATCTATTTGAATGATCAATGATGTTCCAAAAAACACAGGTATTGCATTTGGAAGTTTTGCCTAATCAAAGATGATCAGGTTTGGTTTTTTTGGCCTCAAGAGACTTAAGACACTTATCACACATGGGAAAAATATTGGTGAGGGAAAATAAGAAACAAGCAATAACATTCCACAACAATTTAATACAGTATAATTTAGGAAAGTTGAAAATACTTAAAGAGAGTATTATGTTTTGGGGTAATTCTTTTCACGGTTCATGGTTCAATACTTATATATTATGTACATAGCATGATATCGTAGATTCATTTCTTCTGAGAGATATTCAAGATATATATGAACTACACAAAAATGTTTTTAGTATATATGCAACTATCCATAAAAAGAAGAACCATATAAAAGGTCACATTTTGTGTTTGGTTTCTAGAAAACGTAGGAAAAGAAAGGAAAAAGACAGATTTTTTTAACCTTGCGTTCCTACTATTTTGGACCTGATTGAATTGTAAGGTTAAAATCTTCAGTCACAGTTGGCCCTAGGTTCGTTCAGCTAACAAGAACAATAAATAATAAAATGCCAAAAAATAAAATTAAATAAAAAATCACAGAGCTTTTCTTTACTTCTCATTTATTTTCTAGGTAACCAAACGGAGAACGATAAGGATTTTCAGCAGAAATAAAATAACGGAATATATATATTATATATCAAAAGAGAGAGAGGATCATATATTACCAGCTTCTTCTCATGAATAGTGGAGGCTAATATTATCTTGAAGAATGCTGACGATGGCCTGCCCGGAGACTTCTTTGACCGGCGGCAATCGCTTCCGTTGGGTCCCACTGCCCGCTTCCGCTTGCATCGTTCCATTACTATACTGACTTACAGGTATATAAATACAAATAGATATATAATGTATGTATATATCAACTGGTTCCTCTTTCGCGATGAGGGTGAGAATTGCCTTGGCCGGAGCTGAAAATGTCTCACTCTACTGACAGAGCAAATCCCTATCTATTACCCCTTCTGCCACGCGCGCTCAAACACGCGCGGAGCTAGGAATTTGATTTGGGGTGGTGGACTAAACCATTTAACTTAAATTTGAAAAATTAAGCACTCAATTGTAGTTTAATATTTTATAATATTAGACTTTTAGTATATATTGAGAAAAACATAATCGAAAATAGAGAAAGAAAATTGATATGAGAAAGAGTAATAGAGAACAATAAATGATATGACTTGGAAGAAATTATAACTTACAAAATGTGCAATTAGGGGTGTACAAAAGAACCGGAACTGGAACTGGAATCGTTTTTTCCGGTTCTCACAGTTCCGGTTCCAGTCCCAATTCTTAATTTCGGAACCGTGAGTGTACGGTTCCGGTTCCAGCCTGTGGGAACCGGTAAGAACCGAAACCGTATGTATATATATATATATATTTATTTAATTAGTTATTCTAAACTAAAGGCCTACAAGCAGCCACGTGTCTGAAACCTCATCTAACCATCTAAAGATTCTAAACCAATGCCTCCATCTCTATTCTGTCGACTCTGAACTTGCCCTCTCTCTATTTTCGTTCTCAGGTTTAAACTTGCCTCTCTCTCTCTAACAAGTTTAACAGAGAAACCTTCAGGACTGGTTGAAATAATGTTGAATCTTGGCAAATTTAGAACCCAAGGGTCTGTCCATACATTAAACCATCACCTATACCCACCCTCCATCGCAAACGTCTCTTGAGAACCTCTCAGCAACTACACATGCTTTTCCAAGCCCAGTTGGAGCTCTTTCTTACTCTAGCCTCCAAAAAAGAAGTCTTTGAAAAATATTTACCTTTCAAAACCCATATATTTCAGATTTGTCTGCAAGAATCAAAAGTTTAAAACCTATATCAGCATATCATTTCGGATTGTTCAAAAACATTAAAACCCATATCTTTTAGTTTCCATCGCTGCTGTTCCAATTCGAGTTCGCAAGCTTCAGACGCTCAACGGATTAAAACCCAAATATATATATATATATATATATATATATATATATATATATATCTCTCTCTCTCTCTCTCTCTCTCTCTCTTATATGGGCCTATTTACCACAAAGAAACACTATATATAAATTTCAAAATGCGAAAGTTTGGGAGAATCTTGTTAAGCCGTAATCTCATTTTCTTTCTTTTTGTATGGGACGCTGTTTAGTCTTTTGGCTTTCACAATCAGAATGAGAGATGATGCTGCTTTTATCCTTTGGAGTAGTGTTAGAGTCGCACCACATTTAAATTTCACTCTCTAAAATATTTTCCCTCACAAAATATCTTCCCTCCCCAAACAAAACACATGATCGGATCAAAAGACAATGGATAAAAGCATCTCATCAGAAAAGAAGAGGGTTCATGGTTAACGGTTCTCATCGAACCGAACCAGTTCCGTTCCGGTTCCGTTCATGGTTAACGGTTCGGTTCCAGTTCGGTTCTAATCTATATAGTTCCGGTTCCCTTTTTTAGGAACCGTTGTTGGTTGGAACTGGAGCCGGAACCGTGAGAACCGAAACTGTGTGCACCCCTATGTGCAATTACTCTCTATTGGGAAAAATTCTCCTTTAATTTTCAATTTTTGCAAATAATGATAAATCATTATTTTGGTGATAAATTTACTAAATTAACCTTACTGAAAAAAAGAGTAAAAGATAAAATATCAAAATTACCCTTAAAGTTATAACATAACAGTATAAAGATTATAAATCAGTGTCCCAATATTTAAAACAAAATTGGAATGTGGGTGTTTAGTTACCTTTTACCAAATTCAACCATTGTCCTTCCAATACATTCAACATATATATATATATATATATATATATATATATATATATATATATAGTTGCTAAAAATAAAAAATTTATAGACCTACCACTAACTACACGTCAATCTCATTTGTTAATAATAAAAAAAATTTAGTTGCATTTTATCCCACTTATTAATGATTTTTGAGATAATTGTGCTTGAAAAGTTCATGGTAAACCAACTAGGAAAAAAAAAAAGTTAATGGTAAACCAACTAGGAAAAAAAGAATTTAATGGTAAATTTAAAAAGTTTGGCTGTGACGGCCTAAGTTTTTCAACCCGGTGTGTCAGTGATGAACCGAAAGATGACGCGATAACGGATCCGAAATACCGAAGTAAAAGACAAAACAACGGTCTCTAGAGATACAACATGACTCTAAGATGCCAATGTGACCCTCAACGAGGTCACGGAACCTAAAGGAAACAATTGCGGAAGCAATGTTTCAAAAACAAACAAGAATGAACCTAGGGGCAAAAATGTCATTTCTAGCCTAAAAGTGGGTGCCACCGAGCACACCATTGGAAAGACAACGAAAAATTAATGAACTTAGATTCAAAAATCACTTGATTCGGAGTCCGAATGAAGAAGATATGGCTAACGGAAGAAGAAGGGGCAAAACGGTCAAAAAGGGGACAACCAAGAACATCTAACCGGTTAGGAGACCTTCCTAACTGGTTAGGAGGCCAAAATCTCGACCAAAACACTGCCCATGCACATGTAACCGGTTACCAAACTCCTCGTAACCGTTTACATGTGAAGAGGGCAGTAAGGTACAACCCAAAAACTTGGTAGCAGGAGTTTTTCTGGGAAAAACTCAAAGAAGAAACCCCCCTCAAAATCGAGTTTTCTACGTGACTTAGAAGAAAAATCGAAAAATATGCACTGTGAAATGCTCAAAATGCCCTCCCAAGAAAACTGGTCCAGAGGGTCCAAAAAGCTGCTAAATAGAAAAACAGAAGCTGAACTTCGGGATCGATTTCCGATACCAAGGTGACATTTTCTGGAAAAACACGAAGAAGAAACCCCCCCTAAAATCAAATTTTCTAAGTGACCATGTGAAGAACGGAATTAATTTCCCAAAGAAAATTCCCAAAATACCCTTAGGTCAGAATATGCAACAAAAGTGTAAAATGAGTCCGTAGGAGGCTCATTTCACCAAAGAAGAAGCTTTGCCCGGAAACGATCATGCACGCAAATGTAACTTACCTAGTAAGATGTGCTACAATGGTCAATGGCCCAAAAATATGGCCGATACAAAATATGACCCCTAACGGCTAAAATGCCAAAAACGAAGTTTGGAACGAAAACCTGGAATTTAAAATCATGAGATGGTTTCAAAATGTCGTTTGACCCTTGACCACACTTCATACATGGTGAATGAATGCCAATGGAAGAATCAAAATGGAATTCCCACACACAATGCAAGCATGGTGAAGCAAAAACTCAATATTTTTCAATACATTCATAATATTCCATGAAGTCAAAAATTACATAGGATACAAATTATATGTCATTGGCCTCCGGCTTCATCTCATACATGTCAAATACATCGTAAAGAGTGTACTCATGTACACATTACATATAAGAAATCAAATGTACACATGTTGACATATAAGGCTACAATTGGCATTCCAAGCCAACCTTCACAAAAGTGGAAGTCTCCAAGTCCACAAACCATCCAAGCATAATGAAGACCTCAACTTTGATTCTTGTACCTGAAATATGCCCCAGTATCGTAGGGGTGAGTAACATAAAGCTACTCGTAGGAAATAAGTATGCATCGACCTACGTTTTACAAGTTTGCATGATTTAATTATTGTGGTTCATTCCACTTAACGTCTATGTCAAAGGTGAGACTCAAGGAGCATCATAGCTACCTAAGATCATTTCTAGCATCAATCACCTCATTCATGCAATTCTAGCAACATAGGGTCATGCTTACACAAAACAACAACATAGGATCATGCCTACACAAAGCAACAACATATAAATTCTCAAGGTTATCAACTTGAAGTCTAAAATGCAACATCAACTAAATATAACAATTTAGCATAATTAGAATAACTGATACCACACATCAAGACATAGATTCTCTAGGTTATCAACTAGAAATCTAAAAGTGTGAAATCAACTAAATATAGCAATTTAGTATGGATGTACTTATCAACATCAAAATTGCCAATAGCCAAAACCACAAGTCAACAAGGTAAACATGATTGTCAACTTGGAATTGAATGCGAAAACAAATGGTGGAAGACTTGGACATCACGCTCGGAATTCTGCTGAGACCTCAATGGTTATTCCGGGTACTAACCTGCAGGGAAGACTACCCTAAGTGTGCACTATCTCAATGACTTAGAGAACTCACGTCCCCGTACTAGAGCCAAACCCTAGCCACCTCAACTCAATAATGTTCCAAGATTCCAAAATAAGCCAAATAAATTCATAACTTATACATATTACTAATACATAGTAACAAGTTAGAAATATAACTCTCAATTGTGCATAATAAGCATTTCATATCCATAATGCTACGAAATCACAAGTCAACAATATATTCATATTAAAAACATACTCTCATGAATATAAATTTAACAACAATGCCCTTCAATGCATATAACACAATCAAGTAAATACTTCACAAGTCTAAATCCATACTCTTAAAAATAGAAACAACTTCTAAAATATGATTAGATCCATGGATAAACAAGATAGAATTTAATTACATCAAAATAATTAAACTCTCTAAATTTCAAATCATTTCCAAATGGTCTCAATTTAATATATGATAAAAGACATATCATGGTCATTAAATATATTCACACAAAAGCTTAATTAGGCCCATGAAACCACAAAATAGATTTTAATTAATTCTCTTAATTAAAGTCTCTAGATTTCCAAACTCAACCAAATGCTTTCAAATTTGAGTATGTTAACAAACATGCCAAAACTCAATTTAGAAGCATAATACAACTCAATTTCATGCAAGGTACGGCCATGAACTTTAATCTTTCACAAAAGATAAATATTAATTAAA